ATGGTAGCCGCGTGCATGAGCCACATATGATTAGTTGTCGCGGTAATCCACCTGTCACAAGCTTTTGCCCTAGCTATGAAGCGTTTTTAGTTGATAAAGGAGCCGAATACGGCTGTTGCAAACGTATGGATTGCAACCGTGATCATTGCCTCAACGATTGATGGCCAGTTATAAAAAAATTGTAGAAATATACAATTAAGCAAATACGGCAACAGAAAATCAAATAAACAGACGAACCTCCTTATGGATCTTGTCCACATCAACTTTTGATTCTATGGCTCCCATCGGTGCTGAAGGAAAAAGTCAAAGTACAAATGGGCACAATGTGGCCCGAGGGGAAGGTTTACGGACTACTTGATTTTTCCTCAATGGTCCTGCCGCGATGGCTAGAGCACAGACGATTAGAGAACGAATGAATGCCCTAGGACTAAGCCTTGGAGAGGAGAGGGACCCGCGAGAGAGCGCAGAGGCGAAGTAGTCCGTCGACGGGCAGTAAATTCGTGAGCCAGGAAGAATGAAGCCAATTCAGGGAGGTCGGGGGGGGGGGGGGTGAGGGCAGTTACTTAACATGCGTGAGAAGCTGGAATGTTCGAGTTTAGGCCGATGTCAGACTTTGCGAATCGCGCGATTCGCTAGCGTCCGCGGTCGCGTTGCGGTACCAGCCAATTGAGTGATTCACTGGCCGCGACGCGACCGCAGACGCTAGCGAATCGCGCGATTCGCAAAGTCTGACATCGGCCTTACCTTCGTAAGCTGCGACGGCGACTGCCCCCCACCCTGCGAGCCACATTGCGCCGACAAATAAAGGGTCTCATCCGGTAAGGGGGGGGGGCATTGTGATGCAACGTCAAGTGGCTGCCCTCACCCCCCACCCCCTAGACTGCCTTCACTCCCCCTGGCTCACGGGGTCCCGTACTTCGAGAAACCTGTGCGCCAGGGGGAGTGTAGGCAGTCTAGGGGGTGGGGGGTGAGGGCAGCCACTTGATGCCCCCCTTACTGGATGAGACCCCAAATAAAGTAAGCACTTTGAACTACGGAAAGATGAGAATAACAGCGAATAAGAAACTGCTTGAAAATCTAAGCGAGGAGTCAAAGGGGCGAGTTTTTGAAATACTGTACTTGTGACAATGTCTGCAATTACACGAAATTGCGCGCGCTTTCCAATTTCCTTCGCCTTTTTGGGTTTCCCCCAGTTTTGCAGTTTTCGTTTCCTCCTTATTTTTTCTATTCGAAGACTTGCTCACGAAATCAATTTGATCCGGAAGACAACGGCGATCACTTTCTTGTGCGATCTCCATCATTCCTTATAAGGGACCAACAATATTTTGATGGTTTCAAATTATTATGTGCGCTCACGTCGTATCCATGCCGCTGTGCTATACGTTAGTTCAGTTGTTCTTCTAGGATAACACTGAAGTCACACCGAAGCTACGCCAGCGGTGGATACGGATTCAAGATTGAATGTTTACAGTGTTACTGGCACGGTTTTATCAGAACTACGCTGGTGGTGCCAAATTTCGAGGTAAATTGTTACAATTCTTCTCAATCACTATGATCTCAGGAGTGTAAATTACTGCTGGGGCTGTCGCTATCCGAGAGCTTTGATGTCATAGTTCGTGGCGCCTAGAGTAGATCCTTATTTTGGCACGAGAGGATGCTCCAGGGTGGTGTGAAAGCGCAAGCGTGATTATTTGCGCGCTGTGAGAACTAGAATCGCTGTAGGCGGCACGAACTCTTGAACGAAAAGC